GGGGGGGGCGTACTCTTATGTTTTGCATGCCTTAGCGGTTAGACCATTGACCACGCGTCCTCGAGAGGACGGAGCATTGTTCCCACAGGACCGATCACCGATGGCCAATCGTTCCTTTCTACTTTGCCAAAGGTGGCTCAATAATGTCGTCCCTAGTTTGTCTATCCTGACGATATCTCTTCCCGCCTTTTCAAACCGCTTCCTATTCCCCAGTACAGCTACCGTCCTTTCCTCTCTATTCCATGCCTTAAGCATCTCCCTGTACGTCCTATCTGTTTTTCCCAGCTCAGTCACGTACACTTCCCTCTCCTTCTACAACGGACATTCCGCTACTACATGAACACGGTCTTCGCATTCGAAGCCGCAATCACATTTGAACTCGTCGTCTTCGTCGTCTACCGTCCTATGTCTTCGTCGACGTTCTCGGAGGCCTATGTTCCCGGTCCTGAATTTGACCTTGAGCTTTGTTCCTGCATCCATTGGTCCATGTAGGTAATCCTTGAACCCTATTCCTTCCTTCAACATTCCGTACACTTCTAGACCCTCCTTATCCTTGAATTCTTTCCTTATATTCTGTTCTTTTCTCTCGGCACAAGCAACAGATATCTACTCCGTGAACCCCTGTAGACCCTCCTTGGTCCGGGGGGGGGGTTGATTGAGAGTTCCCGTTGTCACGCGTTGGTTTAGGATGCGCTCTCTACCGTTTGCTGGACATCATAAGGACGAGCTACGTGGTGTTGAACAGATTTACAGATCGAGATGAAACGCCTGTCTAGGCACTTAAATATATAGGCTCCATGCATGACTGAAGATATCATCCCTACGATGACATGTTAGCGTTGAAAAGTCATCAGGGAAGTGTACTGTTCTCGAAGGTGTGTGATAGTACGAACGACCCCCTTCCGCAAATCACAGGCAAAGATTAGTATTCGTTTGTCCGCAAGTTAGGCGACATATAGATACAAACAGGGAATCGACGCCCGCAAGGTGGTGCCAGTTCTGTACTATATATTTGTACATCATCTTTTTTTTACATTCTATTCAGTACCAAAACCTCTCTTTACATTCCAATGCAGACATTTGAATGGGGTTTATAGTACGTATACGGACCTGTTTCTGCAGAAATCGCGGCTCTTCGCTGTGTAACTCTCTCGCGCAACACATTCTTTTACCGGCGTCATCAATCAGTTGATCCTGTGCAGTTCACGAAGTATTGTTCGCAGTTTGTATTACCCACGGGGTCTAATGTCTCACGTAGGCGAATATTTCTGTCTCTTAAGTTCAACTCTTTTCCGATCCGAAATTCTTGTGCGCAGGAAGGAGGAGGCGAAGAAGATCCGCGACTTTTACAATGCCCACCACGTCGGGGCCCACCACTGATGCTCTCGACCGCATTGTACCGCTAGGGGGTGTCCAGTGTGGGCGGGAAGGGGGAGGTGGGATGAGAGTGGGGGCTGGCTACAGCCAGAAGGCTAAGGAATGCTGCCTGTGTGAGGTCCTACGTTCTTGGCATGAAGTCCTGTCTTGTGTTTTCGGCAGAGGACCGGGCTATCAATAGGCTTGTCAGCGAGTCCGCGAATGAACAGGTTATATCTGTGACGGTTTGGTATTTCATTTTGGGGGGCAGGGTGTGTCGGTGATGGCGTGGCGGGGTGGCGCACTGAAGTAAGGCCTCGATCGAATGGCGATCGGCCATCGGCATGTTTCCATTCGACGCAGGCATGCAATGTACATTGCTGAGTCATGGACCTACAGGTGCACCCCTGCTTGTTGTCCAGCAAGCAAGCAAATTTAAGAAAGCGTGCGCAGCAATTACATGCTCCTCAGCAAGGACCAATATCTCGTCATAGCTGGCTCATGCTGCATTCGTGACTGCCAGTCATGAGCAGCGCATTTTCCTTTTGGACATATCCTGACTCCTTCCGTATCATTTGCGCACCAGCTGGGATTACACCGGACGGAGTTTCTCCGCTTTTCCTCCTGTGGTGCTTGGCCTGGATTTTTTGCGCAAGAAGGGTGTGTCTACTCAATACTAACCCTTTACAAGATGTGGAGTTACTTCACTCCCGAGGCGCTTTCGCATGTACGATTGGTCATCCGTTTGGTCACTTGTGTGAACCACTTGTAACCAGCGGGACGGGACGTTTTGAACACCATGTACCTGGTTTTGCTGTGTTTTATGATCCTTTTCGGAACATTTCTGTGCAAAGCCTCTCATTCCCAAACTCATTATATAGATCCAACCACGCCTTCACATCCGGTCCAATCCCTGCTTCAAGTACCGTAAGAGGCGGAGAGATGGCATCGGGTGCGCTCGCTTTTTTTTGCTCACCCCCGCGTCAGGTCACTCACTGACCAGTGCCATCCGTTGAAAAAAAATATATATCTTTGTCTCCCCGGCACCACGGTGCGATCTCTCCGATGGGTGCCCTCTAGTCGATCGGTGCCATCTGTCCGCCTCTTTGGTACCTCCTGTACTTTGGAACATCTGTTTTGGCCCAACACTGACGCGGACAGCCGTGATTTTCTCAAGTACACCAGGGGACCAATGCATATGTATGAAAAATCCTTGCTTGTGGTTACAGAATATATATCTCGAATACCGTAATCATCGGGGTCTTGGCGCACATCGGGGTCTCGGCACATATCGGGGTCTTGGCACAGGGTGTGCGGAAAAAAAGCGGGTTCCGAATGTTTTGCTAGATTATCGCACAGGTATCGTGGTCTCCGCACGCAGTGCGGAGACGCCGATATGTGCGGTGAGGTTTGGCGGCAAGTGATACCCTTTCACCAGCATCTTGTGCTGAAACTTTCGGATACTGTGGGAGCTTGAATCGCGTGCTCCACTGCTACTGCTGCCCTTGGCACCATGACGATGTGAAAAAATGTGATATTTGTACTCTTTGATCTCTTCTTTTCGTTCTGAAGAATCAAGATCGGCAAATTGGCAAACGGCATCCACTCAAACAATTCTAAACGCAGATGAAACCAAAAACGAAGTAAAAAATCACAACAAACTACCACTACGAGCTACCAACGTCCTACTACGTAGATCAAACCAAAAACAAAGTAAAAAATCACACCAAACTACCACTACGAGCTACCAACGTCCTACTACTGTACTTCCTAGGCGGGTTGAAGTCTCTACTTCGTGCCCGCGCCCCTACCATTGCAAAAACATCCAATCTCACTGGCAATCCCAAAGAAATGGACTCCCACGCTTCCTTGCACCACGTAGAGACGACCCCACGCTCCGGTGGCTTCAGCTTCCCCGACCGGGCGTCTGCGACCGCCGACGCGCTGTAGGCGGTGTACTTGCCCCGCAACAGCCACTTTGTGGCACTTGAAGTCGTCCAGCACCAGGATGCACGGGCGCTGCTGGACGATGCTGCCGTTGTTGGGACGGAGCTTCCAGCTGCCCGAGATCCACCCGTTACACTCCCGCTGGTCACTCCAGCTCTTCTCCTGCACGCCGAAGGACATGCCGTTGGCAGGGTGGCCGTGCTTCGCGCGGTTCGCAGGATGGATCTCCCACGCGACGGAGTTCTTCCGCGGCAGGGTGCTCTTGCCCTTGCCGCTCACGGTCGGCGGGGTGAACGGTGNACCAGGATGCACGGGCGCTGCTGGACGATGCTGCCGTTGTTGGGACGGATCTTCCAGCTGCCCGAGATCCACCCGTTACACTCCCGCTGGTCACTCCAGCTCTTCTCCTGCACGCCGAAGGACATGCCGTTGGCAGGGTGGCCGTGCTTCGCGCGGTTCGCAGGATGGATCTCCCACGCGACGGAGTTCTTCCGCGGCAGGGTGCTCTTGCCCTTGCCGCTCACGGTCGGCGGGGTGAACGGTGTGCCCTTGAAGATGATGCGCGGCGAAACCTTTTTGCCGTCCGCCATGACAGCCACAACGAGCGTGAAGCGTTCCTTCTCCTTGCCTGAGGGGAGGGGGAAAAAATCAACGCGAGGGGAGGGAGGGGGGGAAGTAGAGTGTTCAATACTTCTGCGAGGACAGCGGTGCGTGGTTGATACAATGGATGCAAACGGTACCGGACGTTTCGAAAACTAAGTTGGTTGATAGTTTGGATGCAAAGAAAAAGGAAGTGTTGAATAATCCCGCAGAAAAAGGTAGCAACCCTCTTGTGTCTACCGATAGAGCTACATCGCACCTTGTACCGGCACGCAAAAAAAAATGTCTCCAAAAATTGTCCAATGACAAGAAATCCGCACACCACACAAAATTTTGACAAAAATATTAGCTCGCCCTCGCCTCCTGTGCTGCTGCGAGCGTNACGGTACCGGACGTTTCGAAAACTAAGTTGGTTGATAGTTTGGATGCAAAGAAAAAGGAAGTGTTGAATAATCCCGCAGAAAAAGGTAGCAACCCTCTTGTGTCTACCGATAGAGCTACATCGCACCTTGTACCGGCACGCAAAAAAAAATGTCTCCAAAAATTGTCCAATGACAAGAAATCCGCACACCACACAAAATTTTGACAAAAATATTAGCTCGCCCTCGCCTCCTGTGCTGCTGCGAGCGTCCTTCGCACCGGTCTTCTCCAGAGTGGTCTCCACCGGCATCTCGTGCTGGACTTGCGTCTGGTCCATGTTGCCGAGTTCCTCGAACACCTCCGCCTCCACAGACGCCAGCTGCTCGGAAGTTAGATCCACCCCTTTGATGGGACTCTCGTCAGGTGCCGGCGGGTGGCGCCGAGCGTAGATCTCACCGGCGCGCTTTGAGAGAGTCTCGCGCAGCTTCATCACCGTCGCCCACGCCATACCCTCGTGCNCGCACCGGTCTTCTCCAGAGTGGTCTCCACCGGCATCTCGTGCTGGACTTGCGTCTGGTCCATGTTGCCGAGTTCCTCGAACACCTCCGCCTCCACAGACGCCAGCTGCTCGGAAGTTAGATCCACCCCTTTGATGGGACTCTCGTCAGGTGCCGGCGGGTGGCGCCGAGCGTAGATCTCACCGGCGCGCTTTGAGAGAGTCTCGCGCAGCTTCATCACCGTCGCCCACGCCATACCCTCGTGCCCCTTCGGCAGTTTCTGGCCCACGCTGGTACGCCGGCGGATGCTGAACCCATTCCGCTTGCGGAACCGTTGGTACCAGGAGTTGAATTTGACCTTTAAAGCCAGCGCCTCCTCCGGTTTCGCGTTCGCCGGCATCCCGCCAAGGGCGTCAGGCTTCATCTCGAGCAGCTTGTCCATCACCTCCCGATTACCACAACGGCGGGGCTGCTTGCGCTGATCGTTGATGTAGTCCACAAGGGCTTGTTCGGCGTCGACTGTCCAAGCTTTCCCTCCGCTGTGAACCTGCTTGGCCTTCGAAAGCTTGGGGTTGGCGCTGACCTTCTTCTCCCTGAGCTGCTCCTCCTGCTTCAGCCACTCGATGATACGAGTGGTCTAGTGGGTAGCCTCGTAGCCTGCTAAGGGCCAGGTCATGGGTCCCGGCAGAGAGAGTTTTTCCTCACTAAATAAATCCTGGTCAATGATGAAAGCGACGCGCTGCAAAGCTTGTTTGTTAGTAAACCATAATCGACTTCGTGAGTCGCGAAGGAAGGGATTGCTGTACCCTTCTCGCGATAAAAAATACCTCAGGTAGGGACCGCAGGAGGGGGTCCAGCCCCCCCCTCCTGTGTGACCCCGGTTGGGTCGTCTAGCTAGTAGAAGTGGAGGATAGGGGCCAGAGGGACAGACGACAGAGTCCAATGATGCGAAAAAAATAAAACAAAAACAAAAAACGCTTCCGAGGCACCTGGAGAACTTTCGCCGCGCCGTTGTTTCCCACCGGTTGACCGTCGCACGGGCAGATCTCCCGTGTGTAGGCCGCCGCGTTCAGTTTGAACCGCATTGGGTAGCTCCCTTTCCCTCCCACTGCTCCTGACCGCTCGATCGGGAAGTTGGGCTCCGGGTACTGTACGCGCGTTTGCCGTTGCTGTTTTTGACCGGGTCGTTGGCGGCTAGCATCTCATCGATAGCCTCGCCGGTTGCTTTCGGGTCCGCAGCGGCAGCTCCCTGATCCGCAAAGGAAGGACCGCCAGCACTAGCCTGTGAGGCGTCGGCAGGTCCCGTGCTTGCACCCTCCGACATCGTAGCCGTGCGTTGCGTGTGGTCGAGCCCGCAGGTCCGTCCCGGGCATTTTCCCGATCATCCGCCGGTATTTCTCCGCCACGGAACCGTTATGGTGGCAATTCCCCGAGACTCGTTTGTGTTGTTGTTTTTGTTGTTTTTCTTCACATTAACTCGTGTCAGTTGCTAATCCCAAAATCTAGCAAAGACTCGGTCCGTGGTCACAAAAATGCTAGAGCCATCAGAAGATCTGAAGAACGCACACACTATAAGCAAGGAAAGGGTACGCAAGCCCGAGGAGGTACACCTGCAATCCCTGCAGCACGTTTGCGTGCTCACAACTGAACTACACGCCCACACACTACGGTCGCCCCGGTGGTCTAGTGGGTAGCCTCGCAGCCTGCTAAGGGCCAGGTCGTGGGTTCGAGTCCCGGCAGAGAAAGTTATTTTCTTACTAAATAAATCCTGGCCTAGGATGAAAGCGACGCGCTGCAAAGCTCGTTTGTTAGTAAACCATAATCGACTCCGTAAGTCGCGAGGGAAGGAAGGGATTGCTGTACCCTTCTCGCGATATAAATACCTCAGGCATGAACCGCAGGAGGGGGTCCAACCCCCCCCTTCTATGTGACCCCGGTTGGGTCGTCTAGCTAGTAGAAGTGGAGGATAGGGGNCATCACCCCCCTTGTCCCGCATTCAACCAAAATGAATGTTTGTCGACTAGACGTACTGCTGTCTGATGAAGTNTAAGCACTGTGTAACTGCCTCGAGGGTGCTTGACCATTTCAACACAATGATGGGAGAAAAAAAAAAAACTACAAATCGACTACAGCAGCAGCATCACCCCCCTTGTCCCGCATTCAACCAAAATGAATGTTTGTCGACTAGACGTACTGCTGTCTGATGAAGTGCTGTCTGTACAATAATAACACCATGGTGCATGGTACACAAGCTCGGGGCATGGAGCTGCTGTCTGAAGTGCTGTCAGAATGAGCCCGTGGACATACAATGAAGAAGAACGCCCAACCAAAGCCATCATTGCAATTAATTGACAATCACCCGAATCTATCCAGATCATCTGTACTAGGCATAGCAGTGTAAACATCGACACTGACTAGGAATCGTTCCACATTGAAGGGGTCTTCCACGATTGTTAACAGACTTGCGGGAAAAATGGGAACGTACCCAAAAATGAGAATTGGCGTTTTTCTTCAGAACCACCGGGTGTACCACAGAACCAAAATTATCCTGCGAAACCCCTTCGCCCCAGCTGTGAGATGAGCTCAACCGCCATGCTCCACATCACGCCTTCTCACGGGCGCAAAAAGCGATTCGTGCTGGTTTCGACCTGATTTCTCGCGATGCTGGCTACCTCGGCGATGCTGAGGACATACAGCTTGAGCAACAGCTCATTCGAAAGCTGCTGTAAAGGCCTACAGCACTGTCAACTTTTTTGGGGGGAGTTGCAAAGGTGTGGTTTGCTTTCTAAAAACAAACGCCCATTCTCATTTTTGGATACGTTCCCATTTTTCCCG